TTCATCGACATTAGTTCATAGATGTGAAAAATAATATATAAATAATATATAATAAAAAATAATGTTGATTATTAATAAATTCCACTTCCCCTCTTCCCCCTACCTCCTCCAATAAAGTTCAAAATTTTCAAAAAAAAAAAAAGAAATAAAATAAATAATAATAATAATAATAATAATAATAATAATAATAATAATAATAATAATAATAATAATAATAATAATAATAATAATAATAATAATAATAATAATAATAATAATAATAATAATAATAATAATAATTGCAAGAATCTTAAATAAAGGTGAAGTAGTCGATATAGTTCAAATCTGGTACATAGCACTAACTATATCAGACTTAGAACATATGCGAAATAGAAAATATTGGCCCATTCCTTGTTACCATCCCAATGAAGGGGAAACACTTTTAAAAGTCAAGTCAAAATATATTTTATTAGCAGACAAAAGCTGACGGTACATATCTGTCTGCAAAATCGGCTGATACTTTTTAATTTTTTCCACTTATGAAAAATAAAGGTTTGGTTGCTAAAATCGGCTTTTCGGCCGAAGTACATCGTTTTCGTTTTACACACTCGAGAAATGTATTAATATAATGCGTACAATCACAAAACTTGCGGGTCTCATTTAGCCTGTTCACAGAACAACCAATTGCTACCCAGACAATCAAGTTTTTATTTCAGTTCATTTACTTTTTTCGTCTGGGAGTAAAAGCCCATTTTACCTATTTCCCTACTGTCAAACATTTTATGTTTCAAAAAAGAAAATTTATTTATTTTTTCAAAAATAATTGCGTCCGTTGGTTTTGGAGGTGCCGTGTCGGTGTCCGGACATAATCCCCATTGCAATCATGGAGATTATGTCCGCTTCCAAAATGGCCGTTTGCTGCGTGGACTATTTACAAAAATAATTAATTTTAGAAATCTTTGATTCGCGGTAGCCAGTGCGGGACATACTCAGAGAAGAAAACCTCACTCCCCAGCCAAAGCCGACTACTTACAAAAATTATAATATTTAGATGCAGGACACACCCAGAGGAGAAAATATCTATTTTTCGTACTCCCTATCGTTTTTTGACATACCCATAATTATATGGGTTATGTCCGCATCTTTCTGGGTATTATGGGAATTCAGTCATAATACCCAGAAAGTTCGCCGAGTTGGGTCGATTTAGCTATGTGTGTCCGTCTGTCCATTTTTATCTGTAATCCCACTACAGGTCACAATTCTGACGCAAACCTCACGACATTTTGCGTTGAGTCAGAGTTAGGGTCAGGATAAAAACCTTAAGGGCTTCAAATGTACCAATAAGGGATTTTTCTGATTTTGAAGTATCTCAGGTCATAATTACATACTAATTTAGAACACCAGTTTAGAACAGCGAAGAAGCGCGCATGTTGGGATCGACACAACACAGCGAATGAAATGGACCATACCTTTTGTGTGAAATATCCATTTTCAAATACGATATTTTACTTTGTTTACATTTTGTGAATGAACGATTGATATTTTTTGATTGTCTACTTTGGCATTTCGTTTTGTTTGTGTTGGAGTTAGATGAACCAAAATTTACCTATAGAAAAAAGCTCTTTTTGTTTAACCAAAAATTCTATTTGTCTGTTATTTGTCTTCCAATTGGAAAACAAATAAGTTTGCTGAACAGGCTAATAGTATTCAAAAATTCAAGAAAAAAACTTTTATTTTCTACTCCCCTTTAAATAGAATAAAAGTTATATAGAATATTTCCTTCATTATTAAAGCCCATTTCCTTCCCCCTGTGATGCGTGCTACAACCGTTCAGTTCATTTTTGCTAGTTTTTTTTTTTTGTGAATAATTACTCGTTCATCTAAACATTGTAATATCTTTAAATACGTACATTAACTGCATGTACACGTCACAGCTTTGTTTCGAAGCGAAAACAAAAACCGACTTTTCATTCTTAGTCACAAAGCGCTCGTTCTTTATGAATCACTCAGAATACAGAAACGCTGCAAACAAACCCATTCTCTGTCAATGGCCAAGAGCAAACATATTCTCTCGAATTGCGCGAGCCATTGTTGAGAATTGAACTGACGTTGTCTTGTATTTGTAATGAGGCAGTGACGTACCTGACCCATTCATTGAAGTTATTTCTTCACTTTCTGAAAATATTGCAAAACCAGACTTGTGAAAGTCTGAGAACTTTATCTACGCCTCTGATTATTATTTTTTTTTTTTTTCAGAAAAATACCTACCTTGTTATTATGTTCTTCACAAATACATGTTGAATTTTAAACAGCCGATTCCAATGAGAGTTGATATCATTATTTGGAAAAGTGATGAAATAAAAATATTTGTCATTTTTGTTTTAACAAACACACTGGGCGATGTTGTAACAATTGCGGATATTTTGATTTAAAACAGGGAAATAATTCAATTAATTGTCGTGATGGAAAAACCAAAAAAATTGGAAGTTGTAGTAGTCGAATAATCCTTTAAAAGTTAATGTAAAAACACTACCTTCCCCATAGCCAGTAGGTTAAAAAGAATGCGTTATTCCCTAGAAATTACGAGGCAAAAGAACCAATTTTTCCTCATTACTAAGTAATGGACACAGAATTCCGTTGAGCGTTCGAGATTTATGGTCGGCTAAGTAAGACGAAATATAATAAAATAATATGAGTAGATGAAGTAGATGTACCTTGCAAAACTTTGGAAGCTGTATGAGTCAAAATCCCCATTACAAGGTAATGTATCCAATCCACCTTCTGCATGCGATGATTGACATCAATACCTGTTATTACAACCACATAAGCTCTGTCAGTTCAGCAACCTAATTTTGCAAAAGCATAACAACAAAACAATAAAATAAATTTCGGTGAAACTAAGCACAAATTCAGCTATGGTGTTTTAAAATAGAAAGACTGTTTTTATACCCTCAACCATATGCCTAGAGAGGGTATATATTATGTGATTCGGCTAAAAATTTTCTCATCGAAATAACGGTTTTAGACCCTAGTTCTCTTTGGACCAAATCCGTTTTAGGGCATTTGGAGTTAATCTAGCGATGTCCGTCCGTCTGTCTGGATGGCTGGTGCGCTTGATAACTATCGAAGGAGTCCAAACTTAGTACGTGACATTATTGTAAAACATACATCGAGTTCGGAGTTGGCCAATATCGTTCGGCACCTTCTGACACATTCCCCAACACAAGCTTTGTTAAAAAGATGGTAGAGATCGGACCATTCCTTCTGGTACCTCCCCCACATAGCGTTCCAAATTTGAAAAAAACGCTCAAAGGAAGCTAAGTACCTCCCCCACATAGTGTTCCAAATTTGAAAAAAAAAACTCTTAAATAAAGCTAAATAAGCATTCAACTGTCTTCAAATTTCATACATATAAACATTTTTGTTAACACACGATCGGTTGTGAAGATGATGACTATCTGCGAGTCCCTTCTGGCAAGGGTCACAATTTTCAATTATTTTTTCTGTAATAACTTGCGAAACAAGTCAGCTATTCTTTACAACGTGCTATAACCATATATTTCCCTCAGCCAAAAACCTGAGATGAATATGGAATTTATGATTTCGCATAAAATTGGATATAAATGTTAGATTTTCTTGTAATTTTACCCATGCCAATATTTTAATCCGTATTAGATGAAGTATGAAGGGAGCAGCGAATACAGTCCAAACTTGGCACGTCGCAATGTTTATATCAAGTTTATTTGGAACCAATAGGAAATGGGAAATATTGGCCCATTCCTTCGGAACCTACTCCGACGAGGGTCAACAATTTGAATAATCATAATACAAGTCAAAATATACAGGTTGAGATAAAAAACTGCAACAAAGTCAAACGACATAATAGCATCAAATTTTAGAATAATTCTAGATTTTTTGGAATTGGTCACGTTTGGCACGAGTTATGGCCTTCGAACGGCCAATGAAACCATCACACGCTGCCCGAATGTTACTCTACGGTATTTTGGTCCATTCCCTGCGAAACGCTTGCATGAGTTGATCGACACTTTGGTATTTCTTAGTGATTTAGTGATGCGGGGATTTTGGTGGCCATTGTGCGCTGGAAATGAAGCGAGGAACCTCATTTTGTAACCATTCTTGGGTGGCACGTGCTGAGTGCGATAGTGTTGGGTCCTGTTGGAATGTCCAAGGTCTGCGGCCAAAATATTTGCATGCCCAAGGCTTTAATACACCCTCCAGAATATTTTCGCAATAATATTCGGCATTTATTCTGATACCATGGCCGGTACTTGAGTTCAGCTGACCTCTTTGGCAAGTAAACTCGATCATTTTGTTTGTTTACAAACTGCTGGACAACGAATGTTTTCTCATCGGAGAAAAGCAAATTCGGCAGTTCACCACTTTCGGCCAAGCAAAGCAACTCTTTAGCTTTTTTGAGTCTATTTTCTTTCTGTTGCGGTGTAAGTTCTTCAACTTTCTGGAATTTCAATGGCCCCGAGCTCATTTTTTAATATTTTCCGAATGGAATATTGCGTTATGTTCAGCTCTAACGATAGCCACTTTTGGTTTTTCAGCCAAATATAAAGAAATCACACTATCACGCTTGAATTCCATCACGAATAACTTTTTTTCTGGAAAATTCCTACCAAAATGCTTTTGTACGCTTGTAAAAAATATAATGAGCTGTCGCTGGAATAATTTTAACAGCTATCGGACGAGTGGCTTAGAAATGACAGCAGTCTGAAGTCATCTCACACCATAATAGGAACCTTAGATCAAGTGTGTTTTTGTTGTCGCACAGTGTAATTTTTCGATATCAGTAATTCCATAATCTTTTCATCTAAATAGATAAAATCGTAATCCTCTTTCCAAATAACAATGATTACAAAATTTTGTTATGAACATTCTACAAGTTTGATTTCAAAACTCAAACAATTTCGTCAATTGTCGCCCACAGTGCCAGTGTGATAAGAGCCACCAACAAGCCATACTTATTTACAAATACGATAAATGACTGAGCATACAAATACGAAAAGTGATAGAGTAGTGAGAGGTAGTGTTTGTGGCCGAACCACAGACAAAATGCTCATTCTCAAACAATTCATTGGCGTGGAAACATCAAGTCGCAAAATGACGCTCAAAGAATTTGCATTCTTTTTAATATTGGCTCTGGCATTTCACGTAAGTTTCAGCCGCAATTAGTCATAAAACCCTAAAGACAATATTAAACGAAAGCTGTTAAATCCCACAGATAAATGCTGCTGCACCCACTTCCGATTCAATGGCCACAACTGAGGTGGCACCATTTGCCACCAAGAATATGGATGAAATAGTTCAATATTTGCTCCAGACCACCATACACAAATACGATGCCAAAGTGTCGGTGGTGCAATCGCACATCAAGAGATTCCAGGAAGCTGTGGAAATGTTGATTGGCGAAACCCCAGCTGATGATAATGAGAAAATCACAAAATACAATGAACTTCTACACGCCATTGGGGAGAGCTTAAATGCCATCGATAGAGATACATCAACATGCGGTCTCTATCTGGTTGCCACGGCTGAACTGAGTCACATCGATAGCTTAGTAGTCAATTCGAAGGATGCACAATTGTGGAACTATTGGACTCTATCAGACATTGATGAGAAAAATTTATTTGTGACTTTGGCTTATGAATCAACAGATGTTTACCGACAAGAAGCGCAACAGTATTTCGATGAAAATCCTGAATTTAAGACTGAAGCAAAATCCAAGGCTAAGCAATATGTAACCGAACATTGTTCGAAATACAAAGAATATTATAAGGATGAAATTGTTGGAAATTGAAAGTGCGAAAATAAAATACCAGATAAGAAATGTTAAATATAGAAGTCGGTTTTGTTTATCATAATAAGTTATTGAAATGGTCGTATTTTGAGTTAAACAATTATTGATGATTCACAAAAGTAATGGAAGCTATAGTCGGAATATGCTCTTTATTTTTTCCCACTAATCGGGAAAAGATCCCCTATAAAAGCAGGAATCTTTCAATAGAAAATTTAAAAGAATGTCCAAGAAAATAAGTAAAGTTAATAAAAGCAGGAAAATACTAGAAGAATTGGAACGACTGGGCTATTAGGATTTAAACCCATAATTTCCAAATCGTCGGAAGCCTTCTTCGCTATCTCTTTATAACCTTAGTCATATAGCTACAGAAGGAAAACAGGGTTGCCCATATTCGACGGACCCCGGAAACAAATTCTTCAGAAAATCGATTGTTATGCGACTTGTGTGCGGTGGAGCGCCGTCTTGTTGAAACCAGAACTGCCTCATACGCTTTCGACGAATAATTGGCATCACAAAATTGGTCATCATGTCGCGATAACGTTCCTGATTGATGGTAACAGCATGGCCATTTTCATTTTGGAAGGAAAACGGCCCAATGACCGTTTTCGCACTAACGCCGCAACAAACTGTGATTTTTTCGTCATAAAGAGGCACTTCTTGAATTACCTGAAGATTTTCAGTGGCGTAAAAACGGCAATTTTGCTTATTTACGGTCCCATTCAATGCGAAATGGGCTTCATCGGACATGATAATTTTGTTCCAAAATTGCTCGTCATCTTCGGCCATTTCGATGAAGCTCGCGTGGCGTGGTAAAAATCTGCTTGGACTGACGCTTCAAACGCGGTATGTCATTAAGCGATGTGACATCTCTGTCATAAGTTATGGCGTTGCTAGATGGGTCCGTCGAATATGGGCAACCCTGTATATAGTTTGATACGACCAAAACCTGCCTCATCAAAATAACGGTTTTAGACCCTAGTCCTCTTTTCACCAAATCCATTTCAGGACATTTAGAGTCGATCTTGGGGTGTCCGTCCGTCTTTCTGGCTGGAGGGTGCGGACGATAACACTCGAAGGGAGTAACCGATTTGGTCCAAACTTGGTACATCGTAATATTATATCGGAGATATCGGAAATATCGGTTCACTCTCCTCACAAAAGGTCAAAATTGTCATAGAAAATGATTTACTGTATAGAACAAGAAAGAATTATTTGATTTTATTCAAACTATGCAAATCCTCATATTTGTATCGGTTCTAGGTTCTAGGTGAAATTAGAAAATTAAAAAATGTTCAAATATTCAGATATAGTCGACCGAATGGTATGTCAAAAATTACAAGAAAATAGATCCAGTTTTATGCGAAATCGTAAATTCGATTTTCACCTCAGGTTTCCGGTTGTGAGAAATATTTAGAAATAGCAAGCTGTAAAGAATCGCTGACTTGTTATGACTGATGAAAGTATTGAAAATTATGAGCATTTGCGGTTGAAGTACCAGAAAGGGTTCGCAGATATATATAATCTTCAAAAGAGATCTTGTGTTAGCAAAAATGTTTGTACGTGTAAAATTTGAAGAGAGTTGGATGTTTATTTAGTTTTCTTTGAACTCTTTGTGGGGCAGGTACCAGAAGGAATGGTCCGATAGCTACAATCTTTATAACAGATCTTATGTTGATGGAAATATTGTAATATACCAAGTCTGAATGGAATCGAATGTTTAGTTCGCGTTTTATGACCTTCACGGGTATTAAAAAAACGTTTACCCTTTGTGGGGGATGTACCTGAAGGAGTAGACCGATATATGCCATCCTCACAGCAAATTGTGTGTTAGTGGAAATAATGGGATGTGTGAAATATGGGGAGAACCGGATGCTTATTTCGGATTTTATAATCGTTTTCGTTATTCAAAACTTTAAGCATTTGTAGTGGTGTAACCAGAAGTAGTGGTCTGATCTCTACAATATTTATGACAGATCTTTTGTTGATGAAAATATTGACATGTGCCAAGTGGGGGAGGTACCAGAAGGAGTGGAGTGATATATTCCATATTCACACCAGACCTTGGATTGATAAAAATGTTGTGATGTGTGTAATTTTAAGACAATCGGACTTTTATATCACATTTTATAAGAGTTATAATTATTCAAAATTTTGACCCGTTGTTGGGGAGGTAATAGATGGAGGGGTCCGATATTGTGCATTTTCGAAGGAGTGGAGTGATATATTCCATATTCACACCTTGGGTTGATAAAAATGTTGTGATGTGTGTAATTTGAAGACAATCGGACTTTTATATCACCAAATCGGATACTCCCTGCGAGAGTTATCGTGCGCATCAGCCAGTCAGCGAGACAGACGGACGTACGGACATCACTAGAGCGACTGCAAATGTCCTGAAACGGATTTTGTCCAGAGAGATCTAGGGTCTAAAATCGTTATTTCGATTAGGAACGTTTTGGCCGTATCAAATGATATACAGGGTAAGAAACTGCAACAAAGTCAAGCGCCATATTTTTTTTTTAATTTTATTTAATTGAAAGCAAAACATGTCGGAAATAACATCAAATTTTAGAATAAGTTTAGATTTGTTCGGATTGGTCACCTTTGGCACGAATTATGGTCTTCAAACGGCCAATCAAACCGTCACACGCTGTCCGAATGTTGCTCTGCGGTATTTTGGCCCATTCGACGATCGACACTTTGATACTTTTTAGTGCCAACCGTGCTTTCCAAAATACTCCAGACATAATAGTCCAACATATTGGTATCCGGAGATTTTTGTGGCCATTGTGCGCTGGAAATGAAGCGAGGAACCTCATTTTGTAACCATTCTTGGGTGGAGTCCTGTTGGAATGTCCAAGGTCTGCCGCCAAATTATTTGCATGCGATAATATTCGGCATATATTCTAAAGCCACTGCGACGCGGGTTTCGATCAAGTCGTTTCTTTACTTTTCGAACCATTTCCGCTGATGTTGCTGTTTTCTTCCGTCCACTTCCTTGACGTCGGTTTACGCTACCAGTATCACGGTAACGAGCGATGGTACGAGACACAAATGATTTATTCACATTTAAATGCTGGACTAGTCTAACGATAGCCACTTGTGCTTTACCAGCGAAATATAAAGAAATCACACTATCACGCTTAAATTCCATCACGAATAACTTTTTTCTGGAAAATTCTCACCAAAATGCTTTTTTTACGATTGTAAACAATATAATCAGCTGTCACTGGTATAATTTTAACAGCTGTCGGACGAGTGGTTTAAAAATGTCAGCCGTCTGAAGTTGGTTGCAGTTTTTTCATCTAACCCTGTATACTCTCTCTACCAATATGACGGAGGGTATAAAAAAATCTGGAGAAAGAAAAATAAGAACATTTTTCCAAAATGATTCTTAAAAATTTATGTAAACACATCGAGCATTAAACTTTTCGTTTTCCGGATGATAAAGCGACCAGTCTTATTTGGTGATAATGCAACTGTGAAATGTTTAAAAAAGCAAGTTTGTGCAAAGCACATGCTTGAATTAATGGGCGCCAACAAAATATTTATTCTTCAAATTGTATTTCCTACATTGGTCAGTTTTACTAATGAATAACCAATTTTCAAAAAAGATTAAAACAATACTGCAGCCGTAATTTAAAAACAAGACCCTCGTTGCCCAGCGGTTTATTGACATACCTCATTTTATAATATTCCAAACATAACCAAAAATTTCATCTTCCTCTAATGAATTTCATTCATAAAGACCTTCAGATCACATTTGTTATTTACCATGGCCGTGTATTTGTCATGATATTCCTTTTTAACACTGCGATTTCCCCCGGCAAACTCCTCGATGGCGTCATGTATTTCTTCTACTCTCTTCTCATAGTTTTTCATTTCATCGCTGAACATTTTAAAGTGATTATGCCAATGTATGGCTATGTCCACATTTTCAGTAGCCAAAATGATGCGAGTCACAGCGGGTGACATGAAATGGAATACATTTTTCACACCACACTGATATTTGTGACGTCTGAACATTTCCAAGTATTTTTCTCCAAAATGTTGGGCCGCCTCGTAGATTTTCAATTTCTCAGGGTCATTGGCATGCTGTTCCTTGGCACTGTAGATTTCTCTTAGCATTTCTTCCAATTCAGCTTCCAAAGCTGGGGCTTTGGCATCAAAATAATAGTATTTATTGGTCAAAACATAATCGACTAGCTCGTCCGTAGTTGTGGGCGTGGTTCCGGCTGGTGCGGCAATACACTGTGTAAGACACTCATTATTCTTTTACTTCTGCCTACAATTTACTCAACATACCTGTACGCTTAGTAGTGTAACAATCAGTAGAGATATAGTACTCATTTGTATTATTTTTATTTTGTCCGTTCTTAGAATGAATGTTTTGTGATGTGTTCTTCAAATATCAACTGATTTATTTTCTTTTGTTTCGATCTAGTCCATGTCTTAGTTATCGGCTTTTGTTTTCTTTTTTGTCAAAAATTTTATTGCATTGCATTTCTTGGCAATTAAATTCAATAGATAACCTTAGGTGTCTTCTACGTACATCACCATAGTGACATATGTGATTGATTAATCTTTACGGACTGAACATAAAATATATTTAAAAATTTAAACAAAAATGATCAAACCAAAAGGACAAATTACAAAATATTGTATAAACAAGTTAGAAAGTTTGAGTCTGACCACTGATTTATAAATACCCTTTTTGGGGTGGGGCATACCATAAAAATGGGACATACATATTCCATTTTTCCCTAAATTTAATGTTAGAAGAAATATTTTATAGCAATTTGATGTTCGAAAAAATATTTAAAGAAAACTGGGCCTTAGTTTTATGAATATATAAAATGAAATTATTTATAAAAAACTGAAATGACAAATTATATTAAGGAAGTATTTACAATTTCATACTTTCATAGATCAAGAATCAAGCCCCAGATTAAAAATTTCGCATTTTCTGAGAGTTATGATTATACAAATCTTTGTAAGAAATGTACCGATAGTCATCAAATAAGTTTGGAACCACAAAATAGTGGACGGAAAAATCACAGCTTCATCCGAGATCAAATGCTGTCTTATTAGAATATATGAAGTTTAGGGAAAATCGGACACTGATTTCTCATTTTATGGCAGTTATTGGTATTCAAAATTGTGTCTTTTTTGGTGGGGCGATACGAATATCAAAGGGTCATCAGACATTGGACTATACAGGGTGAGATGAAAAACCTGCAACCAACTTCAGACTGCTGTCATTTCTAAGCCACTCGTCCAATAGCTGTAAAAAAATTATCCCAGTGACAGCTCATTATATTGTTTACAAGCGTACAAAAGTATTTTGGTGAGAATTTTCCAGAAAAAAAGTTATTCGTGATGGAATTTAAGCGTGATAGTGTGATTTCTTTATATTTGGCTGGAAAACCACAAGTGGCTAACGTTCGAACAGTCCAGTATTTAAATGTGAATAAATCTTTTGTTACCGTGATACTGGTAGCGTAGCCCGACGTCAAGGAAGTGGACGGAAGAAAACTGCAAAATCAGCAGAAATGGTTCGAAAAGTAAAGGAGCGACTGGATCGAAACCCGCGTTGCAGTGGCCGCAAAATGGCTCATGAGCTGAACATATCGCAATATTCCATTCGGCAAATATTGAAAAATGAGCTCGGGGTAAAGCCATTAAAATTCCAAAAAGTGCAAGAACATACACCGTAAACGAAAGAAAATAGACTTGGCCGAAATTGGTGAACTGTCGAATTTGGGTTTCTCCGATGAGAAAACATTCGTTGTCCAGCTGTTTGTAAGCAAACAAAATGATCGCGTTTACTTGCCAAAGAGGTCAGCTGAAAATGTACACCTTTGGTTGGCCACCAGAACTCAAGCGCCGGCCATGGTTATCGTGTGGGCCGCCATAACAGCCGATGGTCGATCTCTGCTCGTATTAATCGACCGTGGCATCAGAATAAATGCTGAATATTATCGGGAAAATATTCTGGAGGATGTATTAAAGCCTTGGGTACGCAAACATTTTGGCCGCCGACCTTGGACATTCCAACAGGACTCAGCGCGCGCCACCCAAGAATGGTTACAAAATGAGGTTCCTCGCTTCATTTTCAGCACACAATGGCCACCAAAATCTCCGGATACCAATCTGTTGGACTATTGTGTCTGGAGTATTTTGGAAAGCAAGGTTGGCACTAAAAAATTCCAAAGTGTCGATCACTTCAAGCAAGCGCTTCGCCGGGAATGGACCAAAATATTGCAGAGCAACATTCGGGCAGCGTGTGACGGTTTCATTGGCCGTGAAGGCCATAATTCGTGCCAAAGGTGACCAATTCGAACAAATCTAAACTTATTTTAAAATTTGATGATATTTCCGACATTAAAATTAAAAAAAAAAAAATTTAAATTATGGCGTTAGACTTTGTTGTAGTTTTATTTTTATCTCACCCTGTATTTAGCCACATGTTGCCCAATGGCCTATTTATTGTGTACACAATATATTTAAAATCTGTAAAGATAAATAAATATGTGTGTATGATATAGGATTGCTTGAAATATTTCACGAATGCATAAATTTTATATTTCTCTCTAGTTTTTTCCCCCCTTTCCTCCAGTGTGCTCTAATTATTCTTATCGCTCATCTGGAAGAAAGACTCGATCTAGGGTCAATTAAAATGTGTAACTCAAAATAGAACACTCTCCATACAAAAGCAAAAAAGAGCCATTAAAAACTACTAAAAAAGAGAAATATTTTTGTATGACTCTCCTACAATTCAATGAAAAACAACAGATCAGGGATGGATGCATGCTATTCGAAATATTTTAGGGCCAAGATAAAATCATAAAAATGAAGAGATTATAGCAGTCAATTCTACAGCACTAAGGTGGATTTTGGGCCAAATTTATTGTCCAAAAATGCAAAGATATAGAGGACGATCTACTTATTTCTTTTAAGAATAATATGTTGTAGAAATTGTAATATTAATAGTACATCTTTAATAATATTACTATCCATCCCTGGGTCTCAATTGTAGCTCAGATTAGTAGTTGATTAAAGACCGTCTGTCCGGAAGTAAAATTGTGACAGTGTCTCGAACGCAGCGGACTTATTAAGATGGGAATACTAAACAAAAGCGGATGGATAGTTTTCATCGTCGTCACATTGGCCAAGGTAAGCTGCCTCCTCCCATAGATAGAGAGGTGGAAAGAGAGATATAGTTTTGCTGTAATCATTCGTCTGTGAGAAAATCAATTATGCATTAACTTAAAACAGCGGCAAAATTGTGACCTCAAAGCGTTTTCAAAAAGAAATAAATAAATAATTAAATGCATGAAAAATAATAATAATGAAGGAGAAAATTAATATATATATTACCTCTTTTTATATTCAGAAGGTATACTTATGTATATCTTGTATTATTTTGTCGAGAAATATGTTGTTAATTATCTTAATTCAATGGAATTCACGTTATCTTTGGAGCGTAAGTCTCTATGGAACAAATCCGTTTCAGGACATTTGGAGTTGATATAGCGATGTTCGTCGGTCTGTCCGCCTATCTGGCTGGTGCGCACGATAACATTCAATCAGGTGCGAAATAGACAATATCGGCCCACTCCATCAAGTACCTTGCCCACAAAGGGTCAAAATTTGGAATAATTATAACTCTTATAAAATGTGATGTAAGAGTCCGATTGTCTTCAAAGTACACATATCACAATATTTTTATTAATCCAAGGTCTGGTGTGAAGATGGAATGTATCACCCACAAAGGGTCAAAATTTTGAATATCCATGAAGCCCATGAAACGCTAAATTAACATCCGATTCCATTCAGATATATATCTGCGAACCCCTTCTGGTACTTCACCCACAAAGGGTTACAATTTTCAATACTCTTATTTGTCATAACTTGTGAAAAAAGTCAGCGATTCTTAACAACTTGCTGTATCTAAACATTTCTCTTAATCAGAAACCTGAGATGAATACGGAATTCATAATTTTGCATAAATTTGGATATAAATGTTCGCTGTTCTTGTAATTTTGTCCATACCAATATTTGTATCTGTATCAGATGAAATGTGAAAAATTCGGTCGACTATATCTGCTGCCTCACGCATATTTAACATTTTCTAAAATTATCATATATCTCCTATAAAGCGAAGCAGTAGTCTGAACCTGGTACATCGCAATATATATATCATATTTATTTAGGTCCGATTGGTAACGGACAATATTGGCCCATTCCTTCGAAATCTACTCCAAAGAGGGTCAACAATTTGAATAATTATAACGGAAGTCAGAATATATTTAAACAATTGAACATTGGCTGAGGGTATAAATCTGTCGTCAACCCCGAGTAATACTTTTTAACTTGTTTTTGTTTTTTCAAAATTTATATCAACCCTCCTAATACTTTTTAACCTGTTTTAAAAAGAGTTCATCATTCATGAACTCCAACAATTTGAGCAAAACAGTCCAATAATTCTATATAAAACTCAATTTACAGACGCTTATATGTGGACCACTGCCATCTTTACCCACACATTCTCCAGCTTTCAACGATGTCAATGAGGTGGTGGATTATTACATTCACAATACTAAATTAACCTATGATCATCGAGCTGCATCCATAAACGAAGAAGCTGACAACATTTTCCAATACATCAACAACAACAGCAATAACAAGGGATTGAAAAACAATAACAAATATCAAAAGCTAGACGACACACTGAAGCACTTCATGGCAAGAGTTAATAAATTCAACAACAAATGTGGCATCACTGATGTTCTCATGATTTTGGCACCCAGGGTTTTGCACGAAATAAACGACACCAATGATAACGAGCTAATAGCATTAAGTGAGCGTTTTAGGAATCTCCTTAAGCTCAATGAAGTTCAGAGACAAATAGAAGCTGCCAAAAAGGTAGAGGAATTTCTGGATGGCAAAGAAACATCAATTGTTTTACAATTCCACTCGAAATACACGGCATGGGACAGGGAGTACTGTTATGGCGTTTCCGTGTGGGATGAATGATTAAATTTTTATTATTATATTAAATAATATAAACTAGGCATTATTTAATTGTTAAAAAAAGTGTTTTGTTTCTCTTTCTTTCTATTTCATATTAATGTCGTTTGGATATTTATGGCCTTGGGTTATGAACTTACCTTACTATAAATACCCTTCCGAAATGTGTATACCCCCCACCATACATAGTATGGAGGGTATATTAAGTTCGTCATTCCGTTTGTAACTCATCGTAGTAACCATTTTAAAACAAACAAAGTGTATATATTCTTGATCAGCGTAAAATTCTAAGTCGTTTTAGCCATAACTGTCTGACCGTTTGTGCGTCTGTTGTAATCACGCTAGAGTCAAAACGAATTAATATAAGAAGCTAAAATGTTGCACAGGTCAGTCTATTGCCTTCAGGCAGGTCAAGCTCGAATATGGGCTAAAGTGGTCCCCGATATCGTATAACCCCCATATAACGTCATCCCCGATGTTCGGGTTTTTTGATAATTGTAGCCATATTTTTCAATGGAATTATCTGAAAATCCACACAAGGAGTTCCTTCTGAGTACTCCTGGTAGAGAAATGTCTATATAGGTCCACGATATCGAATGGCCCTTATATAACGTAGGGTACCATCGTATAAGGGCAAATTTTTGATCCTTTAAGGAAATTTTTTACCGGAATTGTTTCAAATTTCGTATATAAAGTTCGTAATGGGTACTACAGCATATGACAAAAAATTGTGTATGGAGGATCACGTCCTCGTATAGCCCCATCTAACGATACCTTCCGATATTTCGTATTTTAATGATTTTTATACCCTCAGCCATATGGCTACAGAGGGTATATATCATTTGATACGGCCAAAACGTGTCTAGTCGAAATAACGGTTTTAGACCCTAGGTCTCTTTGGACCAAATCCGTTTCGGAACACTTTTTTTTCGATCTAGCGAGGTCCGTCCGTCCGTCTCTCTGTCTGTCTGGCTGGTACGCACTATAACTCTCGAAGGGAGAATCCGATTTTGTACAAATTGAGTACATCGTAATATTTTTGTCAAACTTAGATCGAGTTCGGAGATGGGCAATATCGGTCCTCTCCTTCTAGTACCTCCCCCACAAAAGGTCGAAATTTTCAAAAAATATATTTTTTTGCACAGAAAGAAAAACGATAATCCGATTTTGCTCTAACTTTGCATATCCATTTGTATTAACCCATGGTCTGGTGTGAAGGGGGAATACATCGGTCCCCTCCTTCTGGTACCTCCCCCACAAAATATTGAAATTTTGAGTACCCAGGAAGCTCATAAAACGCCAAATTAACATCGGATTCCATTCAGACTTGGCACATCTGTCGCAATATTTATATCATATTTTTGGGTCGGATAGGAAATCGGCAATATTGGCCCATTCCTTCGGGACCTGCTCCATGGAGGGTCAAACGTTTGAATAATCTTAACACTAGTCAAAATACATTTAAATAATCGAATATAGGCTGAGGGTATATATCTGGCGGCAATACCGACTGATACTTTTTAACTTGTAGTGACATTTTTCACCGTAATTGTTTCAAATTTCGTTTTGACTTATGACGGAAAATTGTCTATGTAGATCCACGTCTTCATATGGCCTACATATAACAGTATTTTTCGACGGAACTTATTAAGGCCCTTTAAAATGGTGCAGCTGCTGTTTTATTTTTTTTTTTCTTCTAAAGCCCTACTTTATCAAATACGCACTCATTGGCATTTACCATCTTTCTAAATTCAAGATTTTCGATTTTTAGGCAATATCCAATATCCGGTTAAGCATTCGAATTTTTGATGGTATTTTTAGATCTCTCGTTTAATCGAATGTCGGTATTACAAAGCTTTTAATTCGATGTCAACTCCTATCTGCGGTAAAAATCGCAAAATGGACTTTTCGTAATTGGCTTTTCTTTTTAATACGACCTATATGATACGCTGCGATTTACGGGTTTTATATCCCTACTATATAACCTAAGGCAGGCAAATGCCCGTGTTCTAAGGGAAAAGAACCATTGAGCAATATGAGGATCATATATTAATATATCTACGAAATAGGGCTTTGGAAAGGATCGATCAAATTTAAATCGAGTTCGGAGATGGACAATATCGCCCCACTCCCTCTGGTACTACCCCCCACAAAAGGTCGAAATTTTCAAAAAATATATATATGTGCATTAAACATAAAGATAAAAGACGAACCGATTTTATGCCAACTCTGCAAATCTTTCCTTAATATTTCCATCAGGGATACGTGGAGGGGGGGGGGGGGGTGTGTACCTCCCCCACAGGGGCGGTCTTTATATTACACACAACACAATATTTGTATTAACCCAAAGGCTGCGGCGAAGAAGGGATATATCGGTCCACTTCTTCTGGTACCTTCCCCACCAAAGGGTCAACATTTTCCACATATCCATGAAGCTCAGAGAGCGCGAAATTAACATTCGATTCCATTCAGACTTAGCACATCTAAATATTTTTATCAGCACAAGATCTGTTATAAAGATGGTAGAGATCGGACCATTTTTTATGGTACCTTCCCCACATACGGTTCAAGTTTTTGAAAAACAAGGCGCACAAAGAAAGCGAAATAAGAATTCAACTCTCTTCAAATTTCGCACATGCAAAGTTTTCAAATAACCAAAACAATATTAGAATCTGAAATAAGCATCCGGTTCTCTTTATATTTCACGCATCACATTATTGCTACTAACACAAGATTTGCTGTAGATGTAGAAGATGGGATATCGGTCCACCCGTTCTGGGTCAAAATTTTGAATATCCATGATGCTCATAAAATGCGAAATGAACATCCGATTCCATTCATCCATACATCCGATGGTACATTTCAATATTACCATAAACACAAGATCTGTTATAAAGATGGGAGGGATCGGACCATTTATTCTGGTACCTCTCCCATATAGGGTTCAAGATTTTTAAAAACAAAACGCTCAAAGAAACCGAAATAAGCATCACAACTCTCTTCACATGTCACACGGACAATCAATTTTGCTTACACAAGATCTGTTGTGTAGATTAAATATATATCTGCGAACCCCTAGTACCTCACCAAGAAAGAGTCACAATTTTTAATACTTTTATCTGTCATAACTTGCGAAACAAGTCAGCGATTCTTGACAACTTGCTATATGTAAATATTTTTCTCAACCAGAAACCTGAGATGAATATGGAATTATGCGAAATCATAAAATTGAATATAAATGCTCGATTTTCTTGTAATTGTCCATACCAATATTTTTAACCGTATTAGATGAGGTATGCAAATGTAATACTTCAGTCGACTATATCTAGTACCTCACTTACATTTTAACATTTTCTAAAACTTATAAGATATCTCATATAAAGTGAAGGAACTAACCAATATAGTCCAAAACTGGCACATTGCAAAATTGATATCATATTTATTTAGGTCCGATACGAAATGGACAATAATCGCCCATTCCTTCAAAACCTATTTCATAGAGGGTGAACAATTTGAATAATCAAACAGAAGTCAAAATACATTTATATAATCGAAAATTGGCTGAGGGTATAGATTTGTCGGTAAAACCGATTGATATTTTTTTATTTGTTGTATTTTTTTTAATTGTTTGCTAATATACTTATGTAGACATTCTCGTTATTGTCTTTTTAAGTCAACTTCCTGATGATGATTGTGGTCGAAATATCGGAAAAATAAAAAACAGAAATAAAAAGTTTGTTTTTATTTTCACCTGACCTCGCGGCAAAATTAATTTTTAAAAGATAAAAAGTCCAAAGGTCAACAATAATTGTCAAAAAAATTTTAAAATTTTTAATATTCTTTAAAAAAGTTATATCTATTTTTTAAACTTTAAATCACCTATATATGTGTGTGTATATGCATATCTGTAATGATGTTTCTTTCTCTCTTTCTTTGTAGGTATGTTTCGTGTTTTATGCTTTCATAAAATTGTCTGCTACAGGTAAATTATTTCACACACATATTTCCCGAATACATACTGCTCTATTGGCTACTCAAAATTGTTTTCTTTAACAATGTAATCTTATTTTTGGGGGAGTAATTTCAGGGAAAATCTTACATTCAATTATCTCTCTTCAACGCGTAACACCTATAAAAATTATTCATGCCATTGTATCATACAAAAATTACTTCAGTTCGCCTACAAATTTATAAATTAACAATAAAAATTACAAATGTAAATAATTCAATTGATGAGAGGGGAAATTTCATACAAAACAAGTAAAAAAGCTGTAAGTTCGGCCGGGCCGAACTTTTAATACCCTCCACCATTTGGTACAAATTTGGCAATTTCCAAAAAAAATAAAATAAATAAATAAATAAAATAAAAAAAAAATCCTTTAAAAATTCTGTTAAAATCTTAAAAATACCGAATGTCTATACGACGACGTATACCTGCATAGGCAACTTTTGTCATAAGTTATTACAACATTTAAATGCGAAACTTGAAGAAAAATTTGTTTATAATGTAGCTAAAATCATCAAAATACCGAATATAGGGGGTACCGTTATATGGGGGCTATACGAAGACGTGGACCTGCACAGACAATTTTCTGGCATGGGCTGAAGTATCCATTACGAACTTCAAATGCGAAATTTAAAACAATTCCGGTAAATAATGTCGCTAAAATCATCAAAATACCGAATATCGGGGGGTACGGTATGTGGGGCCTATACGAAGACGTGGACCTACATGGTTCATTTTCTGTTTTCTGCTGCAGTATCTATTACGAACTTCAAATACCAAATTTGGAACGGTTCCGTTAAATAATGTCGCTAAAATCATCAAAATACCGAATATCGGGGGGTACCGTTATATGGGGGCTATACGAAGACGTGGACCTTCACAGATAATTTTCTGTCTTAGGCTGTAGTATCCATTACGAATTTCAAGTGCCAAATTTGAAACAATTTCGGTGAATAATGTCGCTAAAATCATCAAAATACCGAATATTGAGAGGTACCGTTATATGGGGACTATATGAAAACTTGGACCTACATGACCCATTTACGAACTTAACCTGCAGACAGACGGACAGACAGACAGACAGACACACAGACAGACAGACGGACATGGCTAAATCGTCTTAGAATTTTACGCTGATCAAGAATATATATACTTTGTTGGGTCTGACGTGAGTATTTCGAGGAGTTACAAACGGAATGACAAAATTAATATACCCTCCATAGTATGGTGGAGGGTATAAAAATTGTTGTTTGACGCTCTAAATGTTCAGATTAAATAACAAAATGCCAAATCATCATGATTTTCAAATGCATCATGACACGACACACTTTCTGAAAGTAAAACCTACATTTGGACATCCGCCTTGTCAGTACGGATTAGGTGTTTTAAGGTGTTATCGTGTTTTTTTTTTTTTTTTTTGGCTTTTTGTGTGTTGTTTTTAATTGAATTTTCAATTATTTAAAATTTTAATGCGCCATCACTTGATCTGACCACAAATACAAAAATTAACAGCTCATCTATGACAATTTTCTCGTCCAAATGGCTATTAAGCTTTTTTTCCTCAATAAATAGATGTATCTGTTTAAATCGCATATGTTTGAAACATAAAAGTTGCACATATTCCTTCAGATGTCCAAAAGTTTGAAATCTTTTAATTTCATCTTTTTGAAGATGTATTCTCCGAAAATCTGTCAAGAGAATCCACGAAATAAATTTTGTAAACAATTAGTGCACTCTATAGGTTAACAAGCAGGTTATTACCAAGATCGTGTGACAGCAACGCCAACAACCATTCAATCACATGAACTGTAGCATATCTTTAGGCGTAATTATTAAATTAACAGCACAGACATAATAAAGACATATAACATAATAAAATGGGACATTACATTTTCACTCTTCTCCAATAGATGACGTTGGTAGTGGAAAAATATGTTATATAGCATTATATTATAATTTGACAGAGCTGACACATTTCAAGAGTTGTTATTGATTTTTATCGATTCAATGTACATGGAAATGCTCTGGAATAGATTTTTGAGAGCATGTCTATCAAAACTGATATCGGAATAACATATTTTTCTAAAATTTACAATGCATTTCTGTGATGTCGACTGCCATCTATTACCTGATGGATGATGGATGGCTAAACAATTGTATTTATGCTACCCTGGGATAAGGAACCATCATACAGATAATTGCCACATAGGAATTTATTTAAGTAAAGTCCCCACATTGGAGTATCCCCAAGTCCACTTTCACTTTGTATTCTATTGAATTTGTAACCCCCAAGAGAATATTGGTTGGGAACGTAGATTTGGGATGTACATCTGTATGAAATAAATTGTGAAAACATGAACAAATTAAAAATATAAGAAAGTAGCACAGGATCGAATATTTGTTAAATCGTCATTGAATTATAATATGATGAAAAATATGGACTTTATGGGGTCTCCAACTTACAATTTAAATGACAAATAAAATTAATTCCCATCTTACGGTAATGGGTGTAAAATAGTAATTTAATTTGACTATTCTGAAATCAGTCTGCCCTCAATTACGAAGCGGATTTTCAGTTTGACATGCTATATTGTTCTGCTTTATTTTTGATTTGGCCTCTATCTGTCATCTTGGATTATAAGGGGTGAATAAGCGTTTCAATGTAGGTCGATGTTTCGCAGTAGTGCCCATATAAAGGTATCTCCTGAGTTTACTATATTTCAAAGGATTTGGCTAAAAATACATAAAAAATTCAACATATCTACAAATTTTAGAATTTTCTCCATGTAATAGTACCCCCTCAAATCCACCTTTTGGCGGACAAACAGACCGACATAATTAGGGGTTAGTAGACTCTAATGCACAATCTAAGGTGCTAATGGGTTAAAAAAGAAATTAACTTTGGCTATTCTTAAATCATTCAGCCCTCAATTATGAGGTGTGTAAAATACAGAAAGTTCCAAATTACTGCTCATTTGGCGAAAAATTAAAAATTAATCGACCAGTACGTGAACACTTATAACAGTCATATCTGTGAATAATTATACTTTGACAAATATGCATAATAGATAAAAACTACGGGGCGGCAACGCGGACCGGGCCACAATACAATCATCCTATTCGACGTTGAAATACAAGTAAAAAAGCAGCTAATTTCGACCGGGCCGAAATTTTAATACCTTCCATCGTTTCGAAGGAAATTAAAAAAATTTCAAAAAAAAAAAAATTCCGAAACCATCACTTAACTGAAAATCTTTATACGAAGACGTTGACCTGCATAGGATATTTTTTGTCATAGGCTGTAGTGCCCATTACGAACTTTAAATACGAAATTTGTTACAATTACGGTGAATAATGTCGTAAAAATCACGAAAATAGGGAGTATCAGGAGGCTACGATTTTTTTTTTTTTGGCATAAGTTGAAGTAGCCTTTAAGATCTTTCAATACGAAATTTGAAACGATTCCGGTGAATACGGTTGTTGATATCGTCAAAATACCGACTATCGGAAGGTACCGTTATATGGGGGCCATACGAAGACGTGAACCTGCATATGTCTGTCTTGGGCTGTGGTATCCATTTCGAACTTCAAATACCAAAAACTGAGTAATTACGCTGAAATCATCAAAATACCGAATACCGGGAGGTACCGTTATATGGGGGCTATATGAAAACGTGGACCTACATGGCCCATTTACGAACTTAACCTGCCAACTGACAAAATAAAAATGTGTGCATTTTAGCCTTCTATCTCAATTCGTTCAAAATATAGCGTGATTACAACAGACAGACAGAGACGCAGGCAGGCGGACATCGCTAAATCGACTTAGAATTTTACTCTGATCAAGAGTATATATACTTTGTTAGGTCTGACATGAGTATTTCGAGGAGTTACAAACGGAATGACAAAGTTAACATACCCTCCATAGTATGATGGAGGGTATAATAACACTGAAATACGAAAATAGTTGCAGGAGGATGTCCATGTATTTCTCGTCCCAGATATTGGCTGATAAAGACAAAACATCGAACAGTTCATTTATTTATTACCTGTTTCGTATATAAATACAGCACCCATATCTTCGACGGATTTCAATTTTTTGTACACCAAATGTAGAGTATCTGACGAAATAGAAAAGATTGTGGCACATACGATGAATTATATATTTTATCCGATATATAATTATATCCCATTTGACATTTAGACTGCTCAAAGCCGTATTGGACTCTATTAAAATAACCGGTACAATGTATCACATACAACATACAGGATGAGATAAAAAACTGCAACAAAGTCAAACGCCATGATTTTTACTTTTTTTTAAGTTTATTGAATGAAAGCAAAAAATGTTGGAAATAGCATCAAATTTTAGAATAAGTTTGGATTTGTTCGAATTGGTCACCTTTTCACGAATTATGGCCTTCAAATGGACAATGAAACCGTCACACGCTGCCCGAATGTTACTCTGCGGTATTTTGGGCCATTTCCGGCGAAGCGCTTGCTTGAGGTTATCGACACTTTGTTATTTTTTAGTCCAACGGATTGGTATCCGGAGATTTTGCTGAACATTGTGCGCTGCAAATAGAGCGAGGTACCTCATTTTGTAAATATTTTGGGTGGCGCGGGCTGAGTGCGATGATACTGAGTCCTGTAGGAATGTCCAAGGTCTGCGGTCAAAATGGTTGCGTGCGCAATGCTTTAATACACCCTCCAGAATATTTTTGCTATAATATTTGGCATTTATTCTGATGCCACGGTCGATTAATACGAGCGGAGCTAGACCATCGGCTGTTATGGCGGCCCACACGATCACCATGGCCCATGCTTGAGTTCTGGTGGCCAACCGAAGTTGCACATTTTCAGTTGACCTCTTTGGCAAGTAATCACGATCATTTTGTTTGTTTACAAACTGCTGGACAACGAATATTTTCTCATCGGAGAAAACCAAATTCGCCAGTTCACCACTTTCTTTAGCTCTTTCGAGTCTATTTTCTTTCTGTGGCGGTGTAAGTTCCTGCGCTCCTTTTTCAATATTTGCGATTGGAATATTGCGATATGTTCAGCTCACGAGCCATTTTTCCGCCACTGCGACGTGGGTTTCGATCAAGTCGCTTCTTTACTTTTCAAACCATTTCAGCTGATGTTGCTGTTCTTCCGTTCTGTTCTTCCGTACACTTCCTTGACATATGGGTACGCTTTCAGTAACGAGCGTTGGTACAAGACACAAAAGATTTATTCACATTTGAATGCTGCAGTACTCTAAATGCTGTGCTTTTCGAGCCAAATATAAAGAAATCAGACTATCACGCTTGAATTCCATCACGAATAACTTTTTTTCTGGAAAATTCTCACCAAAATGCTTTTGTACGCTTGCAAACAATATAATGAGCTGTCACTGGAATAATTTTTGGCCTTGGACCTTATTTATAACCCTTCCTCCATAGTAGTATAGGGTCAAAATAAAAAATTAAAAAATCAATTTGTATGCCGGCTAAACTATTTTTTTTTTTTCGAAAAAATATTTAAATACTTTGTCACTAGCTTTTCATTGACACATTCTTACATACATTTCACATTCATAGACAGACAATTTAGATTGTGAATGCGCTTCAAGTGAAATGGTTATCTGACACTTTCGAAAAATGAACCATTGCAAATTCCAAAACCCCCTAAATTATAGAAATATACATTCGAATGTGTTTTTTTATTTTTACAATAATTTTCTGTTTATTTTGGCACTCGTGGAGTAAATATTTTACGGAAGATTCTGTTGCTGTTTTTGTTTTTTTTTGTCGGATTTGTTGTGTTGTTGTTTAATTAGTAATTACAATTCAGTTTGTTTATCTTCTATACATTGTTTTTCTTTTTCGTTTTTGTTTTTTGTTTCGTAGGCATTATATTTATATAAATTATGTTTATTTATATTATCGTATTAAATTATATATGTACAAGAGTAATAAATATTTGTTTTATGTTGGTATTTTTTGCAATATATATTTATAGTTAAATTAGACTTGTTTGTTTAAAATTTATATCAATATTTGTATTGGTGTTTGTGTTTTCTCTGGAGCACTTATATAACAAAGCTTACAATTAGAGAAATTTTGGTTTTTTTTATATATGTAGTTAAGATACATGTAGGTGTTGTGGGTTTCTTTACGAATTTCATGCTCTTGTTTTTAGGATTGAGACTCTAATGGCTCAGTCGTAGAAATAATTCAATAAAAACTTTTAGATTTTTCTTCCAGCAGGGGTAAAATTAAACTTAAAAAAAATAATATTTTGAACCTGTTCAAAATGTTATTTATTTGTTTTTGTTAGTAATGGGGGGGGTTCTCTTCATTTCATGTTAGCTCTCTGTTTGTGTGTTTCTTTTTGGAATAACTTAGAACAATTTAATTTATAAAAATAATTAAAAAAAAAACGTAATCCCTACAACTTAAACAATGTCTATGACAACAATGTAACGATTTTCTCAGAAAAAATCATTATCTTGCGCGCGCGTTTCCTATTCTAACAGGTATAGATGGTATGATGTTCGATTGCTGCTGGCGGGTCATCACAACATCTGCTCTCAGTCGTTGACCATACAATAGCCCGAATATGTCTGTATATTATCCTCCAGGAAGGTTTCACCAGCAATTACTCCGGATTGTGTGTGATGACTGGGACAATGATGACCCTTGGGACATTGGCATAGAGCGTTGATATTCACTTCATCGATAAACTCTTGTCGTTTTCGCACCGTAAATAGTTTACAGGGTTGTTTGCGCTGGCAACGAAGGCGCTGTAATGAATGAATAAGAATGGAATATATCAATTTATTAAATATTTATGTGAATTAATTATTTGTATTAATATAATATATAATATAATAAATATATAAATGCATATCAAAAACTCTCTCGGTGGCAATTGACATAAAGTGCTGCATACTTTTAGGTAACAATTAATCAAAACAAACAAATATTATTTGTTTGATTATAGTTATGGACAGAATAAACGACAATAACATTGTGCGACAAAATCCATTTTTTAAATAATTACAGTGAAAACTCAGTAGATTATTAAAGTAGAGCTAAAATGGGCGACACGTGTATCGGCGTTTTAAAAGTTTACACCGCAAAGTAACGGAAATATAACATACCAGATTTCCCTTCTTCCATATTTATTTAGAAATTCAAAAAAAAAAATCATTGAAATCCTCGCTGATAAAAATACAAGGTTTAATTTGATCGGGAATTTAAATTTGAAGTCTTTTTGGTCCTTTTTTTAAAAATATCCTCAAAACTTCCCTTTAATGGGATCATTCAATTAAAAAATAGTCAATAAAAATGTTTGTCATAAAATTCTACTATATGTCTCAGAAGACATTAAAAGTTTAAATCTTAACTAAACGCAAGGAATTCATAAATATCAAAAACACATTTTAGGGTTAAAACCGTACTTCCTGCGAATTTATGTAAGATTCTCCTATTAAGCATCTTTGTAGAAGGATGACGTTAAAGACAAAAATACTCTCAATTAAATTTCTCTATTATTATCCAAAGAAAAGAAATCTCTAGTTCTATTTGATATCAAAAAAATATTTGCATCAATGCTGCAAAAAAAAAAATAAAAAAAAAATACTCGAAATTTTTTTAACAATTCTTTCCTCGCCTTTTTTTTTTTTTTTTTTGAATAAATGCATGAAAGTGACATGAAATTTCATTTTAGGCAGAAAGTCTCAGAGCAAGAACTATTCTACACAAAATTACACTATAAATCTCAGAATAAACTATATGTTTAGCTTTTATAGGTTTCAAGAAAATTATATTCAAAATGTATACATTACATGTGGAAATTATGGGTTCACTTTATTTACTGCTAATCTGACACGTTTTCATTTTAAGCCAAAATCTCCCTTAAAACTTATTTTTTGCGGAAAATATTAAAGGAATAAATATTCAGTATCGAGTTTCATCGTGAGTTTCTAAACAAAGGAAACTTATATACTTCACATGTGCCATAAAAAAAATAACACCAATCTTGCTATATTACAAAACCTATTTTATTTTCGACAAAAATTAACACTTTTTCTGAATTCCCTGCAAATTTTCTTATAATTTTAGTATTTAATAGACAGTCTGGATTGTGGAAAGTTCCAAGCGTATACATCCGATCGGTTTAAAGGATATGAATGGAATATTAAAAAAATATATAAAATGTAATCAAAAGCACTTTGTCGCAATTGTCATAGAGTGTTGCATACTTTTAGGATAAAAATAATTAATACAAAAGTAAGAATAGATTTGTATACATACTCTAAACATGTTAAGGCCTTTATGCAGCCCTTCAATTACACAGAACTTTGGATTACTTCAAAATCATGGTTATTTTCGGTCATTTTGTTGGTATAGTTCCTCTATATTAAGGTAAACTTCGATGTCAAGAATTTTTTTGCTTTTAGTCATATTTTCCATTGAATTTCGTAACATTTTGGTATTTTGAGTTCTTCTTATGTGGACACACTGCCGCCAAAAAATATCATGAGGAAATTCTAATGGAATTGTTGTCACGATGGGGAATATTTGTAAGAAAACTTTTTGATTATTTATCTCGCTCTCTAGACCTATCTCTGCAATGAAATGCAATTTGATGTACCATAACCTACGTTGCTATTATTATTATATATCAAGAGGAAAGAGGTGGAAATTCTCATGGAATTGTTATTCACGTTTGGGATGAATATTTGTAAGAAAACTTTTTTTTTTATTATTTATCTCGCTCTCTAGGCCTATCTCTGCAATACAGTGCAAATTTTACCATAACCTACGTTGCTACTGATATTTTTATATTTCATTGGAAAACTTACCGTCAACGGTGAACACGCAAACAAATATTTATATCCTCCATTGCCATCCTCAGAAGGTTCTCGTTTTGTTAAATATGTTACGGAATTTTTCGGACAACGACAATGCACAATTTGTTCCGTCGTATTCATTTCAGGTGATGTGGTCAGGGTCCAGGTGTAGTCACGAAAATGCCTAAATAAAATAATAAAAATATATTTTAATATCTTTTGTGCAATTTCATAAAAAACCCGAATTAAATACCTGCACACTGGTAATCGATGTACCGGTTGGCACATTTTATAATGTCTCGTCTTATCGGCTATGGTGTGACCATCTTCAATACCCAAACCACTGGGACATCCGCCTATGTAGGATATTTTTCCACCATGACCACCACCCGTATGTCCCGAATGTCTCATATGTGGCGTATTGGAATACAAATGCTGACGCTTCATGGCAAAGTGAGCGGGAAATTCATTATCCTTAATTTCATCAGCATAGTATAGAGTCGCCTCATTTGAATCGTCCAGAGCGGAGTTAGTTTCCTCATGTCGATGATAGTCCGATGGCAAATTCAAATCATCTTCATAAACGGCACCCAATTTGTGCATTAATTTCTTCAAGTGCAGATTATCGAATTTCTTGTCGCCCACAAAACTAGCCGCGTCCAGCAGCAAATGTTTATTCTGCTGTTGATGCGCTAATTTGGAATGTTCATAGAAAGTATGATATTTTTCGGAATTGTGATTGGAATGCGATACGGTCTCCTTGTGATGATGATGGATAATAATTTCCGGTGAGCGATTGACAGCGGGACAACGACACTGTCTCTCGATCCACGGTGTTTCATACAAATCGATTTTCGAACAAACTGCATTGGGGGCACAAATGGGCAAATCATCCTCGGAATTCTGTAAATATGTAGGAAGAGGTTCGATTTTATTATCGTTGCTAAATTGAATTTTATAAATAAATTTTAATTAAAGGACTACATTATTTGTGATATCCTGCTGCCGAGAGTAGTTTACTTGTCTGTTTGGTATGTAAATATAATAAAGCCTGTTGTGAATTTCAGTGGCACATTTTTAATAAAATGCTTTACAGAAGGTGTTCCGTTGTGTGTTGGGGAGGAGCTACATGTTTTATATGAAATCTAATATAAGTTTCCATTTATAGACAACAACAGCAGCAGCAGCAACAACAATGGTCGTTGATGTCCATACTACCATTATTATTGTTGTTGTTGTTTTACACAATAAAGATACCATATTCCTCTCTATCCCCCTTCGACCAATGTCAGCACTTTTGGGTAGAAAGAAAAACCCATTTGTTGAAATATTCAACATGTTTTTTGTATCCATTCGTATGTAATGTGGACATGAATAAACACATGTATATTTGTATTTACATATGTTAAGATATTCGCATGGAAATGTAATGTCACAATGTAAGAATAGAATCGACCATCATCATCAGGAGTGTAGATTAGATATTGATGTGAGTAGTTGGTCGTAAAGTGTCAAATAAATGGACCCTTACTTTTCCTTTTTCGGGGTATTCTATTCAACAAAAGCTTTGGATGTGATTTCTCTTGAGAATTTGTTTGAAAGTTGTTGCCATTATTATTCGAGGTTTATGGGAAATGGGGACGGCACAAAATAATGCCACAAAAGTACATTGAGTTAGCCGAGGGTCATGATATTTACACAGTTTATAACTCTGAAATCCTGCAAGGTTCGAAATACAAATAAAAAAAATAATACAGTGTTTTGAAATCAATGAACCTAAAATGTTGAAGGAATTGTACGTAGATGAAAGTTTGGTTAAAACATATCTGCTATACTGGACTACTTAACAAATGATGCAAATGTTTTTTGTTTTAACCAATGAAACTGGATCTAGAACATTAGAAATTAACAAATAACCCAAAAATGTATATAAACCACAATAAAAAAAAAACTGCAACAAAGTCAAACGCCATAATTTTTAAGTTTTTTTTTTTTAATTTTATTGAATTCACGCAAAAAATGTCGGAAATAACATAAAATTTTTGGAATAAGTTTAGATTTGGTCGAATTGGTCACCTTTGGCACGAATTGTGGCCTTCAAACGGCCAATGAAACCGCCACACGCTACTCGAATGTTGCTCTGCGGTCTTTTGATCCATTCCCGGCGAAGCGCTTGCTTGAGGTAATCGACACTTTGGTAATTTTTAGTGCCGGCCTTGCTTTCCAAAATGCTCCAGACACAATAGTCCAAAGAACCTCATTTTGAAACCATTCTTGGGTGGCGAGTGCTGAGTGTGATGGTGCTAAGTCCTGTTGGAATGTCCAATTTATGCGGCCAAAATATTTGCGTGCCCAAGGCTTTAATACACCCTCTAGAATATTTTCGCGATAATATTCGGCATTTATTCTGATGTCACGGTCGATTAATACGAGCTGAGAGCGACCATCGGCTGTTATGGCAGCCCATACCATCACCATGACCGGTGCGCTTAGGTTCTGGTGGCCAACCGAAGATGCACATTTTCAGCTGACCTCTTTGGCAAGTAACCATGATCATTTTGTTTGTTTACAAACTGCTGGACAACGAATGTTTTTTTTTCATCGGATAAACCCAAATCCGGCAGTACACCACTTTCGGCCAAGCGAAGCAACTCTTTAGCTCTTTTGACTGTATTTTCTTTCTGTTGCGGTGTAAGGTCTTGCACTTTTTGTAATTTTAATGACTTTACCCCGACCTCATTTTTCAATATTTGCCGAATAGAATATTGCGATATGTTTAGTTCATGAGCCATTTTTCGGCCACTGCGACGCGAGTTTCGATCAAGTCGCTTCTTTACTTTTCGTACCATTTCTGCTGATGTTGCTGTTTTCTTCCGTCCACTTCTTCGACGTCGGGTTACGCAACCAGTATCACGGTAACGAGCGACGGTACGAGACACAAAAGATTTATTCACATTTCAATGCTGGAGTGCTCTAACGATAGTCACTTGTGGTTTTCCAGCCAAATATAAAGAAATCACACTATTACGCTTGAATTCCACAACGAATAACTTCTTTTCTGGAAAATTCTCACCAAAATGCTTTTGTACGCTTGTTAACAATATAATGAGCTGTCACTGGAATAATTTTAACAGCTGTCGGACGAGTGGCTTGCAAATGACAGCAGTCTTAAGTTGGTTGCAGTTTTTTCATCTCACCCTGTATATCATTTGATAGGCCAAAACGTGTGTCATCGAAATAACGGTATTAGACCCTAGGTATCTTTTGACCAAATCCGTTTCAGGACATTTGGAGTCAATCTAGCGATGTCCGTCCATCTGTCTTTCTAGCTGGTGCGCACAATAACTCTCGAAGGGAGTATCCGATCCAAACTTGGTACATCGTAATATTATTTTCAAACTTAAATCGAGTTTGGAGATGGGAAATATCGGTTCACTACTTCTGGCACCTACCACACAAAAGTTCGAAATTTTCAAAAAAAAAAAAAAAAAAAAAAAAAAAAAAATATATATATATATATACATATATATATATATATATATATATATATATATATATATATATATATTTTACTGCACAGAAAAAGAAAGGAAAATCCGATTTTGTTTCAATTTTGCCAATTCTAATATTTGCTTCAGTGCGAGGTTGGGTGCGAAAATTGACAATGTCGGTCCACTCCATCAAGTACCTCCCCCACAAAGGGTCACAATTTTCAATACTTGCATTGCTATATAAAAAATATTTTTTTCAACCAGAAGCCTGAGATGACTATGGAATTTATGATTTCTCATAAAATGGGATATTTTTATGATTTTCTTGTATTTTTGCTCATACCTATATATTTTTATCTGTATTAGATGAAGCATGAAAATGTGAAATTTCGGTCGACCATATCTGGTCCCAAAAAATTACCACATACCTCACATAAAGTGAAGAATGTAAGTAATATAATCCAAATCTGGCACGTCGCAATATTCATATCATATGCATTTAGGTCCAATACAAAATGAACAATATTGGCCCATTCTTTCGGAACCTACTCCATAGGAGGGTCAACAAATTGAATATTCATAACAGAAGTCAAAATAAATTTAAATAGTCGAACATTGCCTTACATGTCGGCAAAACCGACATACATCTGTCTGCAAAACCGATTGATATTTTTTAAATTGTTTTATATTAATCTGTTGCTTTATCATTTGTACTTTTCTGAAAGACTGTGAAAGATTAGTTCTCTACGTATGTGTGTGAGTGTATAAACACAAGGAATATCCAAAAAATCCAATTTGAATAAAATCCAAATATTTACATTGTCTGCTTAGTTTTTAAAAAACATTTTATGGGGACATTTTTTTTTTTGCATTTTGTAAAGTGCCTGAAAATCAAATAACATGGATTCTTAAAAAGTATTCAAGTATAATATAAACTATTTGATTTGGTATTAAAAAATAAAGTTGTTTTTAGTAGCCTACAGTTCCATATTGAATGTATTCAAATGTATGCAGAGAGTTAATGAAAAAGAAAAGATTTCCATGTATGAGCAAAATGTTTGGATTAAAAAGTCATCGTAAGAATTGTTAATTGCTTTAGAGAAATTTCAAATATTTATCTATATTTATAGAAAAGTTCATTTAGATTCTATTTAAATTGGAAATAGCTCAGATTGGAATAATTTGAATATTTGGATTATCTAATTCCCATTAAATGATGAAAATGTGTACCTCATCAATTGAAAGTGATCAACAATTTCTGGACTTCTAAAATTTTATAATTGAAACCATAAACCTTGACTCTGTTTGCTTGAGCAGCATAATATAAAAATAACGAAACGCCTTAAGGTAGGCAATGTATGAAGATTAAACGACTGCAATTAAAATGTTGTCATTGAGAATATCTTTGCAAATGGGAAAAATATGTCTGCAGACCCCATAAAGTATATCTATGTATATATATATATATATATATATATATATATATATATATATATATATATATATATATATATATATATATATATATATATATATATATATATATATATATATATATATATATATATATATATATATATATATATATATATATATATATATATATATATATATATATATATATATATATATATATATATATATATATATATATATATATATATATATATATATATATATATATATATATATATATATATATATACGATGTAACGATAGCCGTCTGTCTGTCTGTTGAAATCACGATACAGCCCACATTATGTGACGTACATTTTGCAGAACAATTTGTATTGTGTCTACAAAGGTTGGTATTGGTTTTGGTATAGTCCCCATATAACGGTATCTTCCGATATTCGTATTTTGATGATGTTTCCTACATTTTTCCACGGATTTGTCTAAAAATTGGTTATTGTAGGTAATAATGGTTTCTAGCTCGTCTGGTGAAACATTGTATGTATAGGTCCACATTTTGGTATAGCCCCCATATCACGGTACCTCCTGATATTCGTTATTTTCATTATTTTTTCCAATTTTTTTCACAGATTTGTCCAGAAATTGGTTTTTGTAGTTCATAATGGGTTCTAGCTCCGGTGGTGAAACATTGTATGTATAGGTCCTCGTTTTGGTATAGCCCCATATAACGGTACCTCCCGATATTCGGTATTTTGACAATTTTTGCCACATTTTTTTCGCGGATTTGTCTAAAAATTTGTGGGTTATGACTCGTATGGCGAAACATTTTAACATAGGTTAACTTTTTGTCTATAGAATGGCTTTAGTATGGCCCCCATATAACGGCCTCACCCACTTTTGAAAAGTTTAACAGCATTATCCAAACGGTGTTACTGGTGTTTGCAGTTTAAAGCGTCAGATACTTTTATATAAAATGTTTTTTTTTTACCCAATGGTGGA